GGCCGCATGTGGCCAAAGCCGGGCGAGCGTTCGTTCGTGCTGCGGGTGGGTCGGGGGAGAACGTGGCCCTGGGGATGCCGCGGAGCCCGGGTGGGCGCGAGCAGCAGCAGGAGGAGGAGAAAGTCGCGCGCTGCTGCCAGCTGGACGCGGTGCTCAGCTCCCTGTATGATCTCGGTGGGTGAGAGCGCGAGCCGCGTGCAGACTGGGGCCCTGGTGGGAGCGGCAGTGCAGCTCCTGCAGTTTCAGTGATCCCAGAAAGTTGGTCTGTAAACCCTCCCACCCGAGAGACCCCCAATCTCCGTAGACTTCTCCAGAGCAGTGTCCAGGTAGCAGTCGATTCGTCCCCGTCCGTACCAGATCAGGAGCCCAGTCTCTCCTCTGGTTGTACATTTCATGGATTCCTTCAAATGGCTCTGTTACTGTCCCCCCACTCTCCCTTTTATTTACTTAGCAATTAGCTTTTACTAGGCTAGCCGTCTTTTACTGTCTTTTTAGGTGTGCCACCCACAGTCAACTGTGGTATATACACACCTTATGGTCACTTGTGCAAGTAAACCTCTGTGTTCAATGGCTATGCCAGTGGCTCTCAATCTTCCAGACTACTATTCTCCTTTCAGGGATCTGATTTGTCGCTAGTTTCACCTTGCTTAAATTCATGAAATGAGACACACAAAAACAAAAGGGTCACAGCACGCCATTACTGAAATATTGCTTCCTTTCTCATTTTTACCAGATAATTATAAAGTAAATCATCTGGAATTTAAATGTTGTACTTACATTTCAGTGTCTAGTATCTACAACAATATAAACAAATCAAATTTTAGTACTGATTAGGGATGTAAGCGACTACTGTACCTGATATGCATATGCGGGCAGGGAGCAGGAGCCAGTGCTGGGAGGAGCTGGCTTAAAAGCCGTTTTCCCCCCAGCATCATCTCCGTGGGGACGGGGAGGCAGAGGCTATTGGGGAACCGGGTGCAAGCTGGGTATCAGCTGATTCCCTTCTGCACATGGTCCCAGATACTGTGCCTCTGCTTTTTAAATGTATTAAGTGCTTGGCAGCTCTTAATACATTTAAAAGGCAGAGCTGCAGCAGGGTTAGCTCCTGGGGCCAGGAGCTAAATCCACTGTGGCTCTGCAGTTTCTCCCCTTATTGACTAATTGAGTACAGGCCATCTTCCCTGTGGGTCCAAGATGCATTCCAAAAAACTTGGACTTTTAGCGAAACAACTGAAAGTGGGGATTTCCCCCCCCACAGCTGACTTCCATTTGTGCAAATGGGGGGGGGGGGGGTTGTGCAACATAAGAACAAGGAATGGGAGGACTTATAACGTATCCATTCCTACAGTCAACAACTACTTCAGTGCAGAATGGATTTATACTGGGAGACTTATAGCAATGGAAATTCCATCAACTACTCAATTAGCTGATTAAACACAATTTAATATCCCTAATACTGTTGTCACTAGTGGTTTTTATGTAATTAGGCAAATATCTAGATTAATTGTTGTGACCCCTTGGAAGATCAATGCATACCCCTGATTGAGAACCCGTGGGCTATAAGAACATAAGAATGGCCGTACTGGGTCAGGCCAAAGGTCCATCTAGCCCAGTAGCCTGTCTGCCGACAGTGGCCAGCACCAGGTGCCCCGGAGGACAATGATCAAGCGATTTGTCTCGTGCCATCCATCTCCAGCCTCTGATAAACAGAGGCCAGGGACACCATTCCTACCCCCTGGCTAATAGCCTTTTATGGACCTAACCCTCCACGAATTTATCTAAACAAAAGAGTGTGAAAGGTTCTGCAGGGAAAACAGACATTAAATATTTTATGGTCTGATTACTGGATACATGAGATAAGAAAGCTGCAATATTGTTTCTTTTGAAGCACAGGAGAAGAACCATTTGTTAAAAATGATAAGAAAAAGATCCAAAAGAAAAACATGGAGAACAAGTTGGAGTTGGAACCCACCAGAGCTGTAATGGAAGACAATGCTGCGTGTCCTGATTCAGCAGTTCCAGGCAAAAGGAAAAGTCAAAGTGCTTCCAGTTTCTTTGAAAAACTGAAAAATGAAATGCATCATGACTCTGTTAATTCAAAAGGGTTCACCCCAGAATCCAGCAATCCTAATGTTGTGACACCCAAAACTATGCAACAGGGAAAGACATCAGAGGTGGAAGTTGTGATATTTCATGGTCGGAGTAAAAAAAAGAAACCTAAACTGGAACTCACTCAGGACAATGTTTCAAAGGTAATGAAGGTCATTCATTCAAATCAAAGGAAATGGGCTCTGAGATGGTACAGAGCATTCTCTCTTTCATTTAGTTGGCTGTCTGGGTCTTGTTCACATGCTCAAGGTGGAGCCATATGTAGAGCCAGGAGGGCATTTTCCTTCCTCTGCACCACGAGGTTTGGGTCACTTGGTTAATCTAGGTACATCTCACTTAATCAATTTCCTGCCATGGTTTCAGTGGTTGGGCTTAGTGTGTGGGTGCAGGGTGATGATGGACTCAGAGATGATCTGGTGGTCCCTTTTGGCATTGCACAACTTTCTGAAGTTTTGAAACAACAGACTATACTAGACTAAAATCCATCCCTGTCAAACTCCATTGACATAAAACTAGATGTACATAATGTTTTTTGACAGAAAAAAAGCCAATATTTGTAGACTGTTTTGTCCATTATTTAAATTATAATAATAAAGTAAGCTAGCCTTTTTTTCTTGCACATTGCCAACAGAGTGGCTCTTCTTAAAATGCCACAGGTTGGCTATTTGTGCCTCTAATACTTTATAAACACAATTCTTTACAAATGTAAGATTTTTATCCATATTTGCTTTGACATTCATATATATGTCATTTCAGTTACCGCAGTTAAACCTATTAAAGAGTTGTTTCAATGGAAGATGCCTTATGCTTAAGATTTTCATAGCCCACCTACAAGACTTCAGTGTCTAGTTTTAAAAGAAATTGGGCATTCAAATGCCTTAGCTCTGAAAATACCACCATAGAAGTGCAAGATATTATTAATTAGTCTGTCTGGGCAGTGACTTTATATTGTAGTTTGTCATTGTGAAATCATCAGACACTCGCTCTCTCTTCACCAAGTGTATGTTTTAGTTATATGTGGGGAAAAAATGGTTACATCTAAAGCCCCATTTCTGCAAATGTATGTTTAACTATGAATTTCAAATGGGTCAGTTCAGAGTGGTAAAGTGTGTGTTTGTAGTGTTAATGTCCAGTATCCCAGTTTAAGGGAGATGTTTAAACAGGTTTATTTAAAATTATAATGCTGTTGGAACATTTCAGGCTCTTTGCACAGCCTGACAATGTTTACAACGAAAATGAAAACAATAATCAATGTATAGGACTGCCAATACTACAAAAAAAACAGGTCTGCCAAATGATAGATAAAACAATGAGTCCTATCGCTTGTATTCCCAGCCCACTTGTAAAAGCTTCACTCGTGCTATTTGTATAGTGCCTTGTTCAGTGGAAATGTTTGTTGCTTCAGGTCAAAAGTAAAGCTTTGCATAGTCTTCAACAAGCACCGGCAAAGATGTGTCTCGTGTCCTAGAGACAGACAAAAGTTTGCCTCTCAGATACTATGTACATGTTTTGTCATCACTGAGCCACTAGCTGGCTCTGCTCTGATCTTGTGAGCTGGCATCGAAATGGCACCCATAAGAATGCTTCCACTTCTCTGGCATCACAATCTTGTACAGTCAATGCTGTGATTGCTCATATACAAGTTTGGAGAAACAACTCAGGGAATTAGGGATAAGGTAATGGAGGCTTTTAGGCTTTGGGCTCAATACCTAAAAGATTTAAGATGTGTCTGGTGGTCTCAGTCCATTTCTTAATGAGTGTTCAGATCCCAAAATCACCATCATAACTGGCTGTAAGTGGCCCACTTCTTGGCAGCTTAAGCATAGACAAGGAACCAAAATACCTCCCACACCTTGAAGAGGGTCCCTTCAGTTTCTGTCAATTGCAGAGTTTTTATAACTGAGATAGCTTGTCTGTTTCAAACATTAGTGTTTATTGTTTAATCTCTAAGGTCCTGATGCAAAAATAAGTTTTGCTTGGGTAGACCCTGTGCCCACACTTCATTGCCTCTAGCAGGGCTCTGTGCAAGTCCAGGGTTCTGCTGAGGTGGAGCTCATTGCAGGATTGGGACCTTAGTCACTAACAGCTATTTAGAGCTGCAAACCATTGTCCATTTTATGATGGGTTCTGCTGTTCATCCCTCTATTTTTAGGAAGCTCTTTAAGGTGTTGTCTCCCTCCCACACTCTTCTCCCTCTTAGTGTTTGTGGTTTGTCTCTTATGGGAGGTTTTGGCAAATAGTATGTTACAGAGCAATCAGATGGTTGATTTGTAAAGTCGCGTATCTAAATTTTTTCAAAGTTTACGGGGATTTGGGTTTGATGTGTTGAGTTAACTTGATAAAGAGGGGAGCTGTGACATGAAATTCAGGTTTGATACAAAAGGGGGTTGAATTCAGTGTTGTAGTTCAGATTCAGTTCTTATTTGAATACCTATATGGTGTTCTGATTTCCTCTGGGGAGAAGATGGGCAGGAGAAGAATGCTTCTGCATAGAGATAGTAAAAGTTGAGTGGACACAACAGTAAAATGGTCTGAATTTTCCAATCCAGAATGCTGCCACAGTGCATCTGCTTGCCTAAGAGTTGCTGAACATTAGCCTAGAGAGGTTCTGCGGCTTGGTATGAGACTGCTCAATGATTGCCAAACTCAAGAATAAAAAAAAAAAACCAAACCCTGAAATAACTCCATGAGATTTATTATCAATGTGAAATGCACAGATAAACTTTCAGGGTCTCATATGAATGCAGTACACACGTTTGCAAGTGGCACTGGCTCCTAAAAAGAGTATAAATCTTACTTGAAAATAGCCTGCGTAGAGGTAGTTGTTGCCCTCTTCTCAGTTTGTCAATTCATGCTGCATTATACCCTGCCATGTCATTTCCTTCCTCCAGCAACTGCACTATCACAGAGTTTTGGGATTTTTGATTTAAGTTCCCTGCCTAACTTGTTTCCACTCCATGCATCTGTCAAAGTGGGATCCAGCCCACAAAAGTTTATGCCCAAATAAATTTGCTAGTCTTTAAGGTGCCACAGGACTCTTCATTGTTTTTGCTGTAACAGACTAACACGGCCACCTCTCTGAAGCATGGTTAAGTCTTCAATTGTAGAACCTCAGGCAAGACAGCCTTTCTGGTTACAACTGAGGCACCGAGGCAGATAATGTGGAAAAGTTTGCATTGCTTCTGCTGGGCCAGTTCTTTCAATAAACCAAGTCATTCACTTTCCAGACCTGTTCTCCCAAACTCCTTTCACAAGCCTAAACTTTACCTTTTGAGAGAAACAAAATCATACAAAGCTGAGCAGATATAGAGCTCTGAAGTGATCTAAGCTGTGTGTGTGTGAGTTGCTTATCAAAAAAGATGTAGTTTCTAGTGTTCTCATTCTGGGGAATTGATAGATTTTTTTTTTAAATACTCCTTTTAAGGTAGGCTCCATTTTGGGCCTGCCATTGTTGACACTGCTCCAGCTTTAAGATTTTTCTCTTGTTTCTATCATTTAAGATGGATATATACTTTTAAGATATTTGTTTGTGCATACAACTATAGACTGAGCATTGTCAGGCAGATACTGGTACCACTGTTCTCTTGAGGGATACACAGTTTTTCCATGGCTGACTTACAATTTGTTTTGACCATTCTGCGTGTCCCATATTTAATGTGTGAAATGAGTGATTTAAAGTGAAGATCCTCTTAATCTTTCTTGGTGATCATAATAAAAGTACGGAAGGTGAAGATGTGGGGTTTTTTTCTTTCTGTCAAACTGCAAATTAAATTTGAACTTTTAAAGGAAGTCTGCATTGCAGTTTTTATGTGTACAGGCAGTCCCCGGGTTACGTACAAGATAGGGACTGTAGGTTTGTTCTTAAGTTGAATCTGTATGTAAGTCAGAACTGGCGTCAAGATTCACCCACTGTTGAAACTGATCAGCTTCAGCAGCGGCCGAAGAGCAAAGCAGAGCCAAGCCGCGGAGCACGTGGGCAGCGGACAGCCCTGTCCGCTGCCCGCGTGTTCCTTTGCTTGGCTTCCTCTCCCTGGTCTGCTGGAGACCAGGGAGAGGGAGGGCCCCGTTCGTAACTGCGGATCCGACATAAGTCGGATCCGCGTAACTCGGGGACTGCCTGTAATGTGGTGTATGTATTTTTTGAAGTGTGAGTACTTATGTCATACTAGTATCCACACAAGATGAATATAGAACATTCTTTTAAAACTAGCCAATAGCCCGTCATAAAAATGGGATTTTCGGGTCTCTCCTCCATGTCCATCTCTCTCTCCCCCCCCCCCCAGCCCCCCCCCGCCTCCTGCCTCTCTCTCCATCTCTCTTTCTCTTCTCCCCCTCATGCCTCTCACTCAGGGGACTGCGTAGCCCACACAGCTGTTTGGGCTCCGTGCTCCCCATGCAGGGGCAAGCAGCGCAAACGGCTGTTTGGGCTCCACACTCCCCATGCATCACGGGGACTGCGGAGCCTAAACGGCCTCTTGTGCTGCTTGCTCCAACGCGTGGCGGCCCAGCTGAGCGGTGCAGAACTTAGCTGAGCGCCGTGGCGGGAGGGGAAGGTAGGCGGGGCGGTGACGTCACTGCCCCCCCCCCCTTCCCTTCCGCCATGGTGCTCAGCTGAGTTCTGAGCCGCTCAGCCAGGCTGCCGTGGGGGACCAAGCAGCGCAAGCAGCCGTTTGGGGTCTGTGGTCCCCATGCAGTACCCCCTGCATGGGGAGCACGGACCCCAAAAGGCTGCTTACGCTGCTTGCTCCCCCGCGGTGGCCCGGCTGAGGGGCGCAGAACTCAGCCGAGCGCCACGGCGGGAGGCAACAGCACCCCCCAGAGGCAACACATAATGCTACAGCGTTACAGAGTCACAGACTCTGGGTTACTATATATATGATGGCTTACATTTCTTGTATGACATTCGGAGTAGTAAAAGACTAGCAAATAGAAACACATACACAGAGGACAAAAATATGCATTTTTAGATTTCATGCTCTAGATACAATACAAAATTTTCTTACTATACGTGTATATTTTATAACAGAGACAGACATTCCTTCTGAAAGACTCTACTTTAGCATTTTATTGCTATTCAGAAAACTCTTAAACATGTTACATCACTTCTAGTTGTCCAATTTAAATGGAAACATTTTCTTTTCCTTATAGATAAAGATGGCTATTCCAGAGAAAAATGTGAATGGAGAAGAATTTAACTTAGAAAAAGTAAGTTACACTGGCTTATCTAATCACGATGAATGCTTAGTGGGTGTGTCTGCATGCATGCCTGCCTGTAACTCTCCCAGGCAGGCTGGAAGAAAGTGGGAACCAATTCAGAATGTTCTTAAATAAGATTATCTTTCGCATACAGAGAATACCAGAATATTTTGTGTAGTGCAGGTGTGTCATAGGACAGTTAGAGCTATAGTGTAGGGTATCCTAGAAGATAGATGTACCACAGCTGTTCCATGTGCCCTTCTTTCTAATGCATTTGAACCTCTTTAATGCAGCAACCCTGGTTAGGCCAGATTAAAGATTTTGCCAGGCCAGGGAGGGCATTGTAGGGTCTAGGCATCAGGGTGTGGGGCACTTACCTGCCACCCCACTCCTGGGGGCATGCATGGCTCTGCCCTTCCCACTGCTCCCAGGCACATGCACGGCCCCTCCCCCCCTTTGCTATGGGAGCCCAGAAGAAAAGCCTTGGGCAGTGGCTGTGCACACTGCTGTTCCATCAGGTGAGGGAGCAGCAGCACACAGAGCCGCTTCATCCTTCATTCCATGGATCTTCCTGGATTAGGGACACCCGGAGTATGCAGGTTTAAGAGTCTATAGCCAGTAACAAATGGTCACTGATTCACTCGGTGTGAGCATCCTATGCATCCTCTCCCTCTAGTTGTTCTTCAGTTACATTTTTTTTAAACTTTAGGTTAATAATATGTCCTTACTAATTCCCCCTCTGTATGTGGACCTGGAGATTGGGTGATAGGTGGGGGAAAAAAATAAACAGGTAATGGTAGATGTTCCACAGTAGTACCAATTTTGATTGGCAAATCAACATGTTATAAAATAAGACTAAACATTTATTCAGTGTTCTCTAGAATGGATTTCCTTTGTGACTTGTAGTAGTGCATACCTTCTCTGAAATGGTTGCACATTTCTGTAATGTTTTAGGCCCGTCTGGAAGTACACAGGTTTGGAATCACTGCATATGAAAAGAAAGAACAACGAGTATTGGAACAAGAACGTGCCATCATGCTGGGAGCCAAGGTACAAAATTGCCCCTTTATGTTTGGAGGAGAGCAGCAAAGGAAAATTGGTTTTCCCTATTTTTCTTTATGGCATATAAGGATGGTACAAAATGTTGGGGGTTTTTTGGTCTCTTTCTAAAAAGTTTTTTTTATTCACACCCCTGTTCTTGTCTACTGTGGAAGAGTCTATGGATGACTGGAATGAAAACATGATTGAAAGGGAAAATGACTTTTATTGAGACCATTAGAAATTAGTTTGTGAATTTTGTGTATGTGTTTGACCTTTACTTAATTGAAACACTGTGAGAAACTAAGATAAGGCCCAAGAGAGCTTTCCATGTACATTTCTGTGTCATCCAAGAAACCACCACCAGAAAAGGAAAGAAAATAACAAGAAATAACTTTCGTTTATGGTTTGTTTGATTTTGGGAGGAGGGGGTTCTTTTATTGTGGAGAGTGTGGAAATCTTTCAGACTTTCTTAATAATCCTCCTGTGTCAACTCCTCAAAAAGGACACACTATTTATTCTGTTTCCCTTTGAAGGCCTTCATGAATGCTGTGTAGAAAGGTGTAGATTTTTAGAATGTTTGAATCTTTTTGATAGATTTACTCACCTGTTTCACTGCAGCCTCCCAAAAAAGAATATTTGAACTACAAGATTTATCAACAGAAAATTAAAGAAAAGAAAACAATGAAGAAAGAAGATAATACTATGGTTTGTGTGCTATGTTTCCTATACAATATCAAAGGGCATATTGCAACTAGCCCTGTAGCTTAATGGGTTAGTGATCCAGGTTTTGTTACCAGTTCCAGTCTCTTACTACTTAGGCTGCTGCTCTGATGGGAGAATATTGTTTCAATCAGCTGCAGCCCAATAAATTATACTGTGATGTTGATGATCTTCTACAGAACATCCCGTCCTCTCAGGGGGACAGTAGCAATTACATCTTGCATCTAGTATGGGATTTGTAGAGGATTCTAATAGGAATAGAGAGCCCATCCTGTAGGACAAGGAGCGTGTATCTCATCTCCCTTCCCTCACTGCTTTTTCTCCAAGGTTTTGTGGCGGGGTTGGGAGATTGACTGAGGTTTATAATAAGTTTTACTGGAATTATATTTGTAAATTGCAAGAGGTATGGGAGAACTTCTTGGTAACTAAGTGACTATAAGTGGTGCTGCTGTTGACGCCACTCAGACACTTTTCTTTGGTCTTTTCAAACTGCTTTATCCATTTGTGAAACTGGGAAATAGATTACCTTATTAGGAAGGGAGCCTAGAATTTATTATTTCACTTACTCTTGTGAGTTATTTCCTTGACTCTTGTAGGGCTGTTGCCATCAGTGAAAATTGTTCACATGACTATGGAGGATGTAGATTTAGGACGATATATTTGGTTTCATTTCCCAGCCTTGAAGTTAACAAACTGTTGGAATCAAACCGATAGTATCACTTGCACCTTTCAAAAGAAACAGAAAGAATTTTAGTGGATTTTTACTGCAATTGCCTAATTACTTTTGGCCAGATCCTTTGCAGAGGTAAATCAGCATCACATCATCAATGATTTGGCCTGTGATTTAAGCTATCACGAAACACTCTGCCACCTATACCCACAATATGCAGGACCCTTTATGTTGCGCATTGCTGTTTAGCCAAGAGTATCTGTTCATTTTCCACTGAAATATTCATCTTTAAATCTGTCAGGAATATAAATCTGATTCTATCAAGATAAAGAAGAAAAAGGGTCAGGAACAGAGGTGAGCCATTTTAGTGAAGTACTGATAGCAAACTTGCTTTTGCTTAAGCTTTTCTGGTGAACTGCCTGTAATTAAAAATGCATCCTTATGCCAAAAGCTGTGCATATCAAAATGGAGCGTATTTTTCATACACATTGCATAAACTCTTCATTGTGATTGTGTTTTGTCTCGAACCTTTAAAACTTGCTAATTTAGGCATTTTCAACTATACTGCTTTAGTTCTGCCCTGACTTGTCAAAAGATTTTCAAATAGTGGTTGGGAGTAAGGTGAGGCATTTATAGGGTGGAAGGCACTAGATTTCACCCTATCTTACAAAATGGCATTGTTTTTCTCCCTGAGGAAATGTTTTGCAAGATAAACTAAAAAAACCACATGACATGCTTAGAAGGCGATTGCATTTTTAATTACCATGTAATTGGTTCACTGGAACTATTCTTTCTGTATTTCTCTAAGAGCCTTTATGTTTTCTGATTTTATTTATCCAAATATCCGTGTATGGTTAGGGTGACCGTATTTCCCTAAACTGAATACGAGACACCTGGCAAAATTACTCGTATTTGAGCGAGTTCAACAGCAACCAGTCATTCAAATGAACATCAAGCTGACTGAGACCCCATTTAAAAGAAATACTGTATACTTGGATTCTTTTTTCTTGTCTTTATGGTTCACACAAGAAGGGGTAACACAGAATCCCATACCTGTCCACATGGGAAGGGGTGACACACACACTCCCCTACACCTTTCTCATGGGGGGTGGAGGGGAACCTGACCAATTGCCCCTTCTCTCTCTGCCCAGTGCTCTCCACCCTGCATCCCTGGCTACTCCCCCAGGGTAGACCCACCTCTCCTGTTACCTGGCACCACATTTTCCTGAGGCAACATGTCACGGGGTATGCCGGGTCACAGGCCTCTCTCCTCCAATTTCTGCCAGAGTTCACATTAGAATGTGGCCAACAGCAGCCTTTCTGTAGGGACAGGAGCTGCTTCCAGCTGTAGGGGAGGAGAGGAAGGGGAGAGATGATTTGGCCTGTGTCTCTGCAGAACTCATCTCTTCTCCCTTTCATCTCCCCCCAGCACTCCTGTGTAGCTGGAAGCAGCTTGTCCCTTCCTGCCCACACAGTGTCAAAAGGCAACTAACACCTCCAGGCTGCTGCTGGCCATGGACATAAGTCAGTCACCTCCTGATCCCCTGCATAGGCAGGAAGGGGTTAAGCCCTGAGATTGCATCATGAATCAGTGGCTAAGGGGATCCCACCCCGCACTCACTGCTGGTGTGTGGATAGCAAGCAGGGATCCGGCCAGCACTGATGCATATGGGGACAATTTAACCATTTTAAAGAAAAGATTGGGATACCTGCCAAAGGGCGTAAAAAAGGGACTAACCCTATATATGGTTAGTTAATAAAAATCAAAAGTTAATCATGGGCATAAATGTTTGTAGGATTGGGCTATATATTTGTAAAACTTTTCAAAATGTATATTCATGTCAACTAGGGCTATAAAGTAGGGTAGAAGTATGTGAAAATGGCTACTTATGAGCTAAATGAAATCATGTACTCCTAATATTTTCCTTTTTTTATATATATTGTTTTAGGGGGGGGTTGATTTAAAGTTATTACTAACTTTACAGAAGGGCTAAACTTTTAATTTTAGTTTTGTTTGGAATGTGTCAGTTTACAGTTTGTATTTATTTAATGTATTAGATTCAGTGGCCTGTAGCTAAGACTCTATATTAATAAACTTAAAACTACTATTACTGTGTAATTACAGGCAATGAAATGGGTGTCTTTTCAGCTTAAGTGTAGCATTTGTTTTGCAGATATTTTGGATGCTTTGGATGACTTCTCTTTATCCTAATTTTTTTTAATTTGTTTTTTAAACCTAGGAAAGCCAAAAAGAAAAAATCAGCAGCTAGTATTTTGCCAACAGGACAGGTTGGAAAATTTACAAATGGGACCTTGATTCTTAGAGGTTATGACATAAAGAAAATTAAATCCTCAAAAGTGGTTAAATGAAGTTATTAGACTGTATCAAGACAGAAAATGAAAATGAGCTAAAATTAATTTCCTAATTAAAAAATGTCTACCTACCCATGGTTTTTTCCCCTGTGTTTTAATACCTGTCACAATACCTTGGTGGTGTTTTTGGGAGGATTTGCGGGGGGGAGCGGCGGGCTTATTTGTTTTTTACCTAGTTTCTACTGTGAGGAGAACACAAAGTGCATTGTTACACAATAAATTCAGAGTAAGAAAAAATAAGGGTTTTTTTCCTAATGAGTAACCTAATTGAAGTATTATTTTCACTGGCTAACAAAGGTGTTGTACTTTAGTAGTCTGAGAGAGGTTTAACGGATTATATTTGTAAAATCCTGTTGAAACAGGAGTTTAATAAAACATATTTTTAGCAGTGGATTATCTTGTTTTCTGATGTAAATATGATTTAAAAGGCTAAAATGTACAGTTAAACCTCACTTACCTGAACGTGGCTTATCATTATGGATACAATTTTGTCACATTAAAATTAAGCAAAAATCACAGAACATTCATGGGAAAACTGTAGAAAGTAAGTGTACAGTCACAACACGGCTGAAGTTAGGGAGTTCTATTAACTTCTGATCAACTCATATCCTTAAAGATAATAAATAGTAATTTGTAAGGCATGTTCTGAATATCCCGTTATTGTAGTTGAAGTGTTAGCAACAGAGTGAGTGTTTCCATTGAAATCAGCAGCTGACAGCAGGTAGCACCTTTCAGAAACGCATTTTTAGGAGCTGAGAATTTCTTGGTGTTGTCTCACCACACAAGTGAATTCTATTTGTCTGGGTGGTTTTTTAACTAAGGCAAAAAAAGTTTAGCTGTGAGCATGAGGCCAGCGAGGAAACAGCCTTAGCTTTCCCATTTAAGTGCAAACATCTAAAGAATGTTGTTTTTGTTTTTTAAGCAGCTCTGGCACTGAAACACAACCGTAGGTGGGCAACTGCAGTGTAGCAGGGAGATTGGACTCCATAATGAGGGCTGACTTCTGAATATCCTGGTAACTGAGCGAAGGCCCTGCCAATTGTCCTGACATTTCGGAAAGCACGCTTCTATGTGCACAATTCTAGGGATGGATTAAGGCATTTTTGCAATCTGCCAATCCACACCCTTCAGCCCACTTCTTCTCTGCTCTACCTTTGAGTTAAGTTTCCTCAAGCTTTTGTCCTTGACTTCAGTTGCCTAGATCCCCCTGAACTTTATGGGTGCTTAGACCCTAATGAGCTTAGGAAGCTTATTGGGGTGGAGCCATCTTAAAAGCTATGCAGGAACAAAGCTTTAGTCAAATTAGAGCTCTTAGGCTGTGTCTACACTGGGCCACTTATTCCAGAAAAGCAGCCGCTTTTCCGGAATAACTTGCCAGCTGTCTACACTGGCCGCTTGCTTTTCCGGAAGAGCAATGACGATCTACTGTAAAATTGTCAGTGTTTTCCAGAAAAACTACGCTGCTCCCATTCGGGCAAAAGTCCTTTTCCAGAAAAACTATTCCGGAAAAGGGCCAGTGTAGACAGCACAGTAGTCTTTTCCGCAAAAAAGCCCCGATTGCGAAAATGACGATCGGGGCTTTTTTCCGGAAAAGCGCGTCTATATTGGCACAGACGCTTTTCCAGAAAAAGCACTTTTTCCAGAAAAGCATCCTGCCAATGTAGACGCGCTTTTTCCGGAAATACTTATAACGGAAAACTGTTCCGTTTTAAGCATTTCCACAAAAGGGTGTCAGTGTAGACGTAGCCTTAATGTTTGCAGAACTCAAACACCAACTCAGACACCAACCTCGTGGGATCTGTTAATGAACTGAAGAAATTCAACTTTTTTTCCTTTTATAATCCCCTTCCTCCTCCATCCAAAAACCCTAGAAAATAAAAGCATTACACTCAGGAAATGCAAAAGGCTGAACTTACAAGCCTAATTCTTCCTCTTGTAATGACAGCTCATATTGTCAATATAACATTTCAACGGTATCTTCTACAGTAGCTATGCTGCACACGTCATATTCTGCATTTCTGGTTAAAAATGTCATTTTAATTGCTGTTAAGTAAAAATGGTAAAACTTATGAGCAATGCCACTGAGTAAACATTTATGTGAAACTTTAACCTTCAAACTTCTTTTTGGCTTTTCTTATTGTATTTTTACACTCAATTTTACAGTTTATGTTCCTTTCTATTTTCCTCACTAGGATTTAACTTCCACTTTTTAAATAATGCCTTTTTATCTGTGTCAGCTTCTTTTACTTGGTTGTTAAGCTACAGTGGCACTTTTTTGGTTCTTACACTGTGGTTTTTTAATTTGGGGTACATTTACATTTAAGTTGAACCTTGATTATGGTATCTTTGGAAAGTTTCCATGCAGCTTGCAGGGATTTATTTTTGTCACTGTACCTTTTAATTTCTGTTTAATTAAACCTTCTCATTTTTGTGTAGTTCCTCTTTCTGAAATTAAATGCCACAGTGTTGGGGCTGCTGGGGTGTTTCGCACCACAGGGATATTAAACTTTATTACATTATGGTCACTATTTCCAAGCGGTCCTGTTATAGTTACCCCTTGGACCAGCTCCAGTGCTCCACTTAGGACTAAATCAAGAATAGCCTCTTCCCATGTGGTTTCCAGCTGCTCCAAGTAGTAGTAATTTAAGGTATCAAGAAATTTTATCTCTGCATCCCATCCTGAGATGACATGTACCCAGTCAATATGGGGATAGTTGAAATCCCCCACTATTATTGAGGGTTTTTTTTTTATTTTGATAGCCTCTCGAATCTCCCGTAGCATTTCATGGTCACTATCACTATCCTGGTCAGGTGGTTGGTAATATATCCCTACTGCTATATTCTTATTAGAGCATGGAATTACTACCCATCGAGAATCTATGGATCACTTAAGATTTTTACTTCATTTGATTCTACATTTTCTTTTATGTATAATGCCGCTCCTCCACCAGCATGACCTGTTCTGTCCTACCAATATATTTTGTACCTTGATATGACAATGTCCCATTGATTATCCTCATTCCACCAATTTTCTGTGATGCCTATTATAACAATATCGTCCTTTAATACAAGTCACTCTAGTTCACCCATCTTAATATTTAGACTTCTACTGTTTGGCTACATCTAGACTGGCATGATTTTCTGCAAATGCTTTTAACAGAAAAGTTTTTCCGTTAAAAGCGTTTGCGGAAAAGAGCGTCTAGATTGGCACAGATGCTTTTGCGCAAAAGCACTTTTTGTGGAAAAGTGTCCATGCCAATCTAGACGCGGTTTTGCGCAAGAAAGCCCCAATCACCATTTTTGCCATTGAGGCTTTTTTGCGCAAAACAGTCCTGAGCTGTCTACACTGGCCCTCTTGCGCAAATGGGAGCATCATAGTATTCCTGTAGTCAGCCACTGGTCAGTTTCAGCAGCGGCTGACTTGGGGATGCCTGGGGCAGAGCAGCTGGGGTGCTGCCGGGTTGGTCCCGCAGCGCCATTCCTCGGCGCTACTGGACCAACCCAGCAGCACCCCAGCTGCTCTGCCCCAGGCGTCCCCAAGTCAGCCGCTGGCTCCACC